TCCCTGCCTCCAGAGCAGCCCTGGCCCAGGGAAGAAGCTGGTCTCTGTATGGAATGATAGGTAGGAAATGGAAGTAGGGACGACAGCTCTGGAAAGGAGTCTAGGAGGAGGTGACTTCCCAAGGATGTGGAGAATTTTTCCAGAATGGAACTTGACCGGTACAGGCAAACATCAGGAGGTGGGGAGGATGGTTCCCTCTGTGGGAGCCGGGGTGACTGCTTTGGCCAAATGGTGGTTGGCTGTGGGTAGGAGCGGGCAGAGCTGGGGTGCCCAGAGCCTGGGGTCCCTGTCCTTGCTGAGGACTGGAATACAAAACAAATGTCCCCTGCTCTCTGGCTGGGGGACATCCTCTACTTCCAAGCCCAGACACACACCAGCTGCCACAAGCCCCTGAGGCTCTTCAGAGGACCAATGGGCAGCCACACCCATGCTGGGCCAGCCTTCTGGGCCCACCTGCACCCTGGTCAGAGCCCATGACTGAGGGGACTCTCTGGGGACAATGGGGCAGCCTCATGCTGCCCTCTTACAGGTGGATCAGTCCCTGGGATGTGGTGTTGGGCTGGGGTGGGCTGAGGCTGTTCTCTGCCGGGGTGCCTGGTGGACAGCAGGTAGAGCAACTACTTGGCTTTCCTGGACCCCAGGACACAGCTGAACACTGCACTTTACCCTGGATGCCTTCAGATTCTCAGGGGACCCTGGGAAGGAAGAAGGGGATGCCCCAGCAGGAGGCCAGGGCCCTGGGCCAGGCTTGCTCCCCCTAGTCCCTCCAGCAGGCACCTCCTCTCCAGATCGACATCACCTGATTCCTGGAGGCCTGGGTTACTGACCAGAACCCCAACTCCCTCACCACGGCCTGTTCTTACATCAGACCAGCTGGCTGTGGTCAGGCCATTGAGTGTAGAGCACCAAGGAGTGTAGACCAGGCTCCAGGCACCTGGGCAGGGAGAAGTCAGGGCCCACAGGTGAGTGCCCTTCCTTCACAGCCCCACCCACCTCACGAGGCAGAAAGAGAGGCTTCACAGGAGGCTGGCCAGGAGTAAACAGGGGAGCCTGGGTCACCTCTGTCTGATCTCCTGCCCTCCTGGGAAAACCAGAGGTTGGATCACAGGAAGTGTCAAGAGCCTGGTCCAGTCCTGGTTTCACTAATGAGGCTCAGGGAGGGGCTGGGTCAGCCCAAGTCACTGAGTCCATAAGGGGAGAACCCTTACAGTAACCTAGGACCCTGAGCTAGCTGAGACCCATCCCTTTCCACATGGAGCCAGAGACCCAGGGGGCGTGGACAGGCTGCAGGCTGCAGGAGCGAGCTCAGCTCACCTCTCCCTCCTCGCGTCTGTTGTCACACATCAAAAGTGAGTTTTTTCCCCGAGGCTGGAGGTCAACTCCTTGGACTGGGGTCACCTCTGTCTGATCTCCTGCCCTCCTGGGAGAAAGCCAGAGGTTGGATCTGGGAAGTGTCAAGAGCCCTGGTCCAGTCCTGGTTTCACTAATGAGGCTCAGGGAGGGGCTGGGTCAGCCCAAGTCACTGAGTCCATAAGGGAGGGCCCTTACAGTAACCTAGGACCCTAGAGCTAGCTGAGACCCCATCCCTTTCCCACATAGACCAAGACAGGGGCATGAACTGGCTTCTGGCTTCTAAGGCCGAGGCTCAGCTCACCTCTCCCTCCCCTTGCCTGCGTCTGTTGTCACACATCAAAAGTGAGTTTTTTTCCCCGAGGGGCTGGAGGTCCAGCTCCTTGGACTGGACCAGATGGCCAATCCAAACAAGTACCTGTTTGTCCCCACCAGCCAGGAATTCTCATGCCACGCAGCAGCTGGGGGCACCAGGATCCCCTGGGTGATTCCAGGGATAAGCCCTCCCCGAGGCTCCCACAGCAGCATTGTCACCCCCAGACCTGCCATAAGCCCTGTGTCCATCCAGCCTTAGAGAACCTGGCCCCTCACACGTGTTCTTTTCTAATGTCTGGATTGGGAAATGGAGGCAAATTCTGGGTACTAGAGTCAGAACTAAGACAAGACTGAATGGAGGGGGGCCTGGGGTCCTGAGAGGCAGAGACGTGAAACCCTCTAGAGTATGTGGGGAGCTGGGTGTGTGTTCTGGCCGGTTGCTTCTCCCTGTGCCTCAATGTTCCAGGTACCCTTGGAGGGACTGAGATCCTGGGGATGCCTGGAGCCTGGCTACATGATGTGGCCACCCTGATGCCCTTGTGTTCTCCATGGCAGGCCAGCAAGGCTGAGGAGAATGGCTCTGACAGCTTCATGCACTCCATGGACACACAGCTGGAGTGGCAAATGGAGACCACCAAGAGCCTGGTGGACTCCTATGTGGCCATTGTCAACAAGACTGTGTGGGACCTCCTGGTTGGTCTCATGCCCAAGACCACCGCACATCTCAGGATCAACAACGTGCATGCACTGCCTCATGGGGGCAGAGGCTCCTGTGGCACTGGGGATGCAGGTGGGGCCTGGCGGAAATGCCAACCAGCCCTGTGGGACCAGGTCCAGGGAGAGGGGCACAGTCAAGACCAGAGCTGTCCCATAGAACTATAACGTGGGACTGGGCACAGTGGCCCATGCCTGTAATCCCAGCACTTTGGGAGGCCAAGGCAGAAGGATCGCTTGAGCCCAGGAGTTTGAGACCAGCCTGGGCAACATAGTGAGACCTGGTCTCTACAAAAACATTTAAAAAATAGCTGGGCCTGGTGGTGGCATGTGCCTGTAGTCAACAGGCTAATGTTGGAGGATCCCTTTGAGCCCAGGAGGTTGAGGCTGCAGTGAGCAGTGATCTCATCCACTGTACTCCAGCCTGGCAGCAGAGCGAGATCCTGTCTCCAAAAATTAAAAACTGAGTAGACAGGTGTCCTGGTGGCCTGATAGGTCCTGGCTCCCCTCCCAGATCTGTGACCTTGGACAGGTGACTTTTCTTCTTGGCCTCAGTGTCCCCATCTGAATGAAAAAAGGCAGTGGGGAAGTGGGTCTTTGAGTCTAAGTGGTGTAGAAGCTGCGTCTGAAAAGCCACACTTGGGACTCCAAGTCCAGTGCACAGTCCCAGAAGGGCCTGGCCAGGTGGCCAGGGTGGCACAGGCATCAGGTCCCAACCTCCTTCCCTCTTTGCCCACTCTAAGATCAAGGAGTTCATCTTGGATCTGCTGGCCAACCTGCACTCACATGGAGACAAGAACACGTTGATGGAGGAGTCGGCAGAGCAGGCAGAGCAGTGCAACGAGATGCTGTGCATGCACCACGTGCTAAGGGAGGCGCCCAGCATCATCAGCAACATCAACACCACCACCGACAGCATGCCCACGGGGGCCCATGGATGACTCCTGGCTGCAGGTGCAGAGCGTCCCAGCCAGACACAGGTACCAGGCCTGGCCCCCACAGCACCAAAGCACCCCAGCCTCCATGGCTGAGCCTGTGGGCTCTTGGAACAGGCTCCATTCTCAAGCTGGCAGATGTGGGTGCTCTCTGGAGTCATCAGAGAGGGCACGGAGCTCATGGTTTATGGTGTAGGGGCTGGGAGCTTGGAGGGGGGTGTGTGTGAGGCTGGACTGTGAGGTGGCCAGAGGCCTAGGAACACCGTCCTTGGCATGCCATCCCTGGTACCTGTCGTGCAGTCTGAGTCATGCTGCCAGGGCAGGGCATCCAGTTCCCAGCCTGGGAGTGCCGAGAGCCGAATCCACTGCAGAGCAGGGGTGATAGTCAGGGTCCCACCTCCTCTATCTGTTGGCAATCCAGTGGCGATCTAGGATAAAACCTTGAGAGTCCCATACACGTGGTCATCCCACAACACACCTCACAGGCCAGGCAGGAACACACAGCCCCCTTCCCTCCCTCCCAGGTACCATCATAGCTGCTAGCGTGTGACTGAAGGCAGGGTCTCTGGCCCCCACTGAAGCACTGCCGCTGGCCAGCGGGCTCACGCACTTTGGCCTGTTGCTCCTAGGGGTCACCTGTGCTATTCAACCAAGGGGACCACAGTAACTACTGGCTCAGCTGAGCTCCGACTAGTGAGCCCACCAGCCTCCCCTGTCACAGACTCTCCCTCTTCTGCTTTTCCCAGCAGGAAGGGCCCAGCCTCACCTATGCAGCCTGCAGACCCCACAAATAGCTGAGGCTCCCCTCTTAGACTTATAAATCTATGGCCAGTGGCATATGCCCTTCCTGCCTCCCCCAGGGTCCTTTCAGAGGGTCCTGGGCTTTCTGACCACCCAGAGGGGCCTCTGGCGCTCACTCCAGCCGTTCATTCCTTTTAGGTTCACCCTCCTGGGTCAAGCAGTGTTCTTTCTCTGTCAGGCCTGGTGGCTGTTGAGTGGGGCTCCCCAAGGTGAGACATGGCCCTGGGCCAGTGGGTTGGAAGAGAGGGTGACCAGAGAAGAGGGAAGCCCGAGGGGGCTGAGCATTGGTCTGAATTGTGGGTGCACTGCCTGGGTGTCATGGGAGAGGCCAGTGTGTGTGGGCTGGCGAGGGCCACCACAGTCCCCAGGCACTAACTGCAAAGCTCTGGCTCCTCCCTCCATCTTCCTCCCCTTTCCCTTCGAGCTCCTCTTTTCCAGGAATCTTGCCACACCTGCACCTGCGCCCTCCCCTCCCCAGCCCTCCCACAGCTGCTGCAGCACACCCCTGCTCTGTGCTTGCCTCACCAGCTCTCTGCTCACTTTTCTCTCCCCATTTTCTCTCTGCTTCTCTCCAGCTGCCAGCTGATCGGGTCAGACTAATCCATCCTGTCCTGAGAGCCCCAGGTCCCACTTCGACCTCTAAACAGATCCTCCTCTTCTCTGAGGCCTCCCTTTCCAAGACTGCCTGGGCGGGTGTCCTGTGACTTGACAGTGGCTCCCGAGCCCAAAGCCAGCCCCCTTCATGTGTGACTTAGTCTGTTGTAGTGCTGAGCTGACACATCCAGGTGTGACCGTTGCTGAAAACTTGTGCCCCTCTGTGGTATGCCCTGCCCTGTTCTATAAATATCCATAAATACTCTGTGGTACG